TTCAACTATAACAACAAAATGTTTAAATTAGAATCGGGAGTGCAAATATACATTCTTCCAGTTCAAGGTACCGTTTGTAAAATTGTAAGGAATGGCAAATTTAATTTAAATTGACTAAGTCTGGTATATTTTTTTATTCCATACAGAATCCCTAAGAGTATCCATTGTGGATAAAAAAATCACAATCCAAATTGAATTTACCATTAACACGATTCAGAATATTCGTAATACAGACCTTCAGATTTCATTCTATTAATTAGCATAAACGACGTATTTGAGAGTTCACAAAGAAAACAAAAACAAAAAACAGTTTTCTTAACAGTGATGTAGATAACTATATTATTTCATGAACGTGCATAATGTTTTTACTTTTTAGTGTTCTTCATATATATATGTACATATTCATATATGTGTTTGATATGTGTATATATATATATTATTTCTATCTTTTTAATTTTATCCAAAGTATTTTAGCTCAAGGAAGTCTCTAGCTTGCTTCTCAGCATGATCTAAGTTGTAACGTTGTACTTACAGGAAGAATGAATTTATTATTTAGAATAAGACCACAGCTTTAAGTAAGTTACTTTTTATTCCGAGTGTCTATTTACAATGGAAGCTTATTCGACGTACCATTAGCTTATGTTTATGATACTGGATAAGTGCTTCTTTCTGCATGTGTATCTTCCTTTCGAATTGCGCTCGTTCATTCATTAGCGTACTACAGTACGAATTAGAACAGCTATTATTTATACACTGTGCAGTGTATAACTTCAAGTGCTTTAACATTACGTTGTTACCTATGTTTATTAGAAATTAGATGATGTCTGGAATATCCAGTTAGCGTCAAGTACGCATCCTTATTGTTAGCTTCAAACAACATCATCCTCTCACGTTATGCCAGTTTTACGTAATGCATTCATTTATATTCGCCCCGCAGAGCATCAGCGTTAAGTCTGAGAGCTCACACCGCTAGAAACCAACGTTCGATACTCGTGGTGGGCACTACATAGATAGCCCATTGTGTAGCTATGTGCTTGACAATACACTACCAAAACTTTATTTTTATGAAATCTTTTTTGGATTAGATATTGAAATTTGTGATAAAACATTAACCAGAAAAATGTTATTTGATATTAAGACGCTAGCTTAAATTATTAGTAACAGAGTCATGTGACATTATTTTAATTTTTGTTTCTCTTAGATACGTAGTAAAACAACAGACAAAACGACATAACGACTAAGACTGCGTGTAAACATACAGAGATAGGTACACGTGGGACAGACACAGATAGATAGGTGTAAATGAAAGAGATCTAGAATTCTAGTTCAAGTGTTTATTTGTTTTAATTTCGTGCAAAGCTATTGGATGGCTTTCTACATTAGCCATCTTTAATTTAGAAGTGATAGATTAGAGGGAAGGTAGCTAGCTAGTCAACAACAACCACCGCCAGGTTTTGGGCTACTTTTTTTATCAAACTTTTAAGACTATTACTAAATCACCCTTAGAAAATTGTCTCCAAAATATAGCTTAAACGACAACATGAACAGTTAGTATTAAACATGTACGAACTGTTATGTATACTTGTGTACATCCAGCAGGAAATTATATCTATGATACAATACTGATTTCAATGTGTGAAATATCTATTAAAGGAGAGGATTTTTCTATGTATGTATATATGTAACTATTTAAAGCCATAAAAAGAAGTTGATGAAAAATAATGAATTTTAAAAGTACTAAGTATTTGGTCCTATGGCTTTCGAATACGATTGCTAGAAAGGTTAAGTAACAGTTATATTTTTATCAGAAGAGTGAAGTTAAAATGTACTGTTCG